TATTCTTCTCGCAGAGTCTATCAAGATAAGGTGAAGTGCAACGCGGGACCTCTCCTACCTCCACGGAACAAAAAAAAAAAAGAAAAAGAAAGAAAAAAAGAACTGGATTGCTCAACAGGAAGTCTGTGGAGTGACCGGCGGTCAGATCTTGTCGTCGGTCATCTCCAGGAACTGGGCGTACACGTCTCTGGAACACTCCCCCTTCTGGTTGAACAGAAACTTGTAGTAGCTTCCGTCAGAACAAATGGCTGCGAGGGGAAGGGAGGGAAGAAAAGAAAAAAAAAAGACGAGTCAGCAAAAACGCGGCTTGAGCAGAATTCATCCTAAAACTCACAAATAAGGAGCAACCACAATGCTTTAAAAACGGGATTTGACCGATTAGGTTTGGGACGGGTGGACGGAAGCCTCTTTCATTCCTGAAACTCGTTTCCGTTTTTTTTTCCCCTTTCCCAAAAAAACAGAAACAGAGAGACTCACTCTGCTGTTTAAAACAGGAAACTGAGATCCGACTGGACTTGTGTCACTTTTTTCTGCTAAATAAAGTACCCTAAACGTCTTTTTTTTTTAGATTCTCACACACTAAACGTTCAAATAGGGCTCCTATCTATGTGTGTGTACAGTGCTTTCTGCCACGATGACCTCACCTACTCCAGTTACCACGGCGATCATTTCAAATCCCGTCTTTATTGATCTCTATTTGGCTGCTTTCGGTTGTAAGGGGAACACAAACGGCTGATTCCCTTCTCTGTGATCTGCCTCTTGGTAGCACAAACATCTACATTAACGTAAAGTGTTCTGGTTCTTTTGTCCCCTCAAGAGAAAAACAAAAGGCTGTCTGCCATAAAGAGACGGAATTTAAAAGTGAGACGGAATTTGAAAGTGGTTCTTTGTCCAGTTGTCAGTTATGTGGATGCATGTCTGGTCCATCCCTTTTATTTAAATGCTTTTTTTAAAACAATCATCTGAATGGTCAAGAACGTGGACTGGACTAAAAATAAACAAACGAAAATAAAACATTTCCTCAAATAGGAGTGAAAAATCAGACGGCGTCCAATTAAAACTGGAGAAATGCTTTTCGAAAGTCACAAATCTTCTCATTGGAAGCAAATTCTAGATAGAAATCAACAGACTCCCAGCTAAAGACTGCTTTTTAGGATCTTAATGTTTGACGCAGGGGCCGAAACGAGAAGCTAAAACGCTGGGCTGCCCCCCCAATAACCTGAATAACAATAACCTGAATGGTCGAGAACGTGGACTTGACTAAAAATAAACAAACGAAAATAAAACATTTCCTCAAATAACAGTGAAAAATCAGACAACGTCCAATTAAAACTGGAGAAATGCTTTTCGAAAGTCACAAACCTTCTCAGTGGAAGCAAATTTTAGAGAGAAATTACCCGGCTAAAGACTACTTTTTAGGATCTTAATGTTTGACGCAGGGGCTAAAACTGTGGGGTGCCCCCCCCCCCCCCCCCAGAGAACTCACCTATGACGGCGTTTGGCTCGGTTCCGAAGGCACAGACGCAGGGCGAGCCCGAGGGGACCTGGAACTTGGAGAAGCTCCACTTGGAGCTGAAATATTTGGGGAGGAAGCTGGCTGACGCCAAACTGCAGAGACAAAGTGGGGAGGGGGGGGGATTCGGATTAATCCCTCTGTCTTTAAACTCAATTCAATTCAATTCAATTTTATTTATATAGCGCCACATCACAACAACAGTTGTCTCACAGCGCTTTCCAAACAGAGCAGGTCAGACCCTACTCTGAAGTTAATTACAGAAACCCAACAATTCCCACCATGAGCAAGCACTAGGCGACACAGGCAAGGAAAAACTTCCTTCCTTAGTGCACCCCAGAGATTTATGGAAAGTTTCAATAACCATGATCTGAAAGGAGGCAGAAACCCACCTGGACTGTTTGTTCCTTTTGGGGTCCTCGGCGGCAAAGATGTGCACGGTGCCGTGGTCGCTGGACACACAGATGAGGGAGGCGTCCTGGTTGAAGTTGATGCTGGAAAACAGAGAGAGGAGGAGCCAGATCAAAGTTCTACTCTGCTCTAAATAAAGCATCGACACTTAAAAAAGTAGGGATACTAAAACGTTTATTTACGTTGGTTATGATCATTAACATGACGTTAGCTTTGAATGGTTAGCTGCGGCTAATGGCTAATAATAACACGCCAACATTTATCGAGTCTATCTGGGGAAGCCGAGGGATGGATATCCCATAATCCAAGTCGGCCATTTTGATTAGGTCACCAATAGAAAGATCCCAGGCAGGAAAATCGTAATTCCTTCACGACAATATAGACATTCATTTAAAAATAGTGAAGTTAATCTCGCAAACACTGAATTCAACTCTATGCATAATATTATGTTAAAACAGTGTATGTTAAATAGGTTTGTACAATAAGTTCAAACAACTTTAACGAAAAAATATCTATTTCTCACAATTAGGGTTAGGGTTAGGGTTAGGGTCAGGGTCATTAATGTGGGCCACTGGCCACCATAACATCAGTAATGGGTCAGTTTGAAATGAAAGACACTAACCTGTCAAAATTCAGTTACATTTTGGGGTGTTTGTTTTTATCCTTGTGGTATCGAAAATGGTATTGAGTATCGAATATTTTCGAATAGTATCGGTATCGAGTTGAAAATTTGAGCAACAATTCGTGCCCCCACGTGTTATCCAGCATAGCAAAACGTGATTCATTTCTTTAAAAAATAATTCATTTAATGATCAGACCGATATTATGCAGCCCTGTCTAAAATCACAAATTGACGTCGAAGTAGTTGGAGTCTTTTTTAAATGATTTTTACAGACATCAGAAAAAACTTCGGCTTCAGATTATTTTTCCTCATTATTCTTTGCGTGTCAATATTTTCTGCTCGTAGAGTGGATGCTTTTATTTTCCCGCTCAGAACAAAGACACACGAGAAGACGTGAACATCGCCCCATCCCGTCCTCACACACACACACACACACACACACACACACACACACACACACACACACACACCTTTGCTCAGCCAGATTTATTGTAAATGTCAGTGATAATGACAGAGATGGACTCCTTCACTACAAAAGCCACAGGCCAGTCTTTCCTCACACAGACACTATCTCAGTTTAACCGAGTCCACAAGCAAAAATATAATCATTTACAATTCCATTTTCCTTTTACTACGCATGTCACTTAGAGGGAATTCTGGCATGTGAGGCAGAATGGCTTCCAGTGAGTTCCCACTTAAAAACATCCTGTGTTTATCTTCATTTTTTCCTTTAGCGGTGCATTTTTTCCCCCGTTTTGAGAGCGAACTTGACACAAAACGTTCCCTCAAATCGCTCCTACTGGGAAATGTTGATGTGTTTTCATTAAAGGCGATCTGAACACGAGCCGGCTCGGAACCGGCCAGAGGGTCGGCCAGCCCTGACCTTAACTCATTGACTGGCAGCCATTTTCAGAACAGAGTCCCATACTGCCAGAGTTTTTGGAGCATTTTGACTGATTTTTCAAGAGCCACAGAATAGTTTGTGCTATGACTATGTAAACACCGAACACACCAAAAGAAAGAGTAGACTCTCTTCTTTCATCAGGAAATAATGTTTGTTTCTACCTTATTCCGTTCTTCCTCGACTTGCGTCTCACCGGCGACATGTTTTTTTCATAGCGAACCATTACCTTTTTCTTATTTGCCTACAATCTATGCTCATCTCCCATCAAAAGTGGCACTGCCCCCTAGAGGTTCAATTTGTTACTACATTCTCTGTCTAGAAGCCTGATATTTACGGACAAGCTTTAGCAGATCGTCCCCCAGCCACTCGTTGAAAAACATAAAAGATGTCTATAGACATCTTTGGCAGTCAACGGTTGTATTTGAATTGACGCCTATAGACGTCTTTGGCAGCCAATGAGTTAAGTAGCCGCAGCCCACATCTGAAGGCTTCGTAGAAAGGAGGCTGTACGAGATAAGAATGGGCACCCACCAGTAGATGTTAGCTGCCTGCGAGCCCCGTCTGAGCTCCTGTATGAGCTGTCCCGCCGACGTGTCGAAGATTCTGATGAGAGTCCCCTGTGGAGAGGCGGCAGCGGTTAGTCGGACGGCCAGCGAACGCATCGCGGACAGACAGGCCGGCCGGTTGCGTACTTTCTCCGAGGCGGTGGCTATCCTGGTGCCCTGCAGGTTGAGCGCGATGCAGCACAGCGCCCCCTCGTGGGCGGGGATGTCCACGGGCGGCTTCTCCGTGCTGGCCAGGTCCACTATCTGGACGTGGCCCGAGTGCGTCCCCGGGAAGGCCAGCAGGGAGTTGTTGCTGTTGGGGCACAGCACGCACAGACCTGGAGGGGGTCGGAGGGAGAGGGGGGGGGGAGGGGGGGAGGGTTACCCACCAGGGTGACCACCCCTCGCCACTGCGGCATGCAGGCCACGCCCCGGACTGACCTTTAGGGTTATAACACGTCTCGAACACGTGCAGCTGGTGAGGGTTGTGGGTGAAGGTAAACACTTTGATCATCGAGTCCAGGACCACCACGATCCTGTGACCAAATGTAAAAAATAAAAATAACGTTCAACAGAGACCTGAAATCCTGCCGTCCAGCAAACTGACTAAACTTGTGCGTTCATAGAGCTGCTACACATCCTTAGAATTCCTAATAAAGCAATGAGAGTGAAGCATTTTCGTTTAGTTGTTATTAAATAGATACTGAAAAAGAGTAATGCATCATGCAAGGTTTGTCAGAGGTTATGTTTACTTTCCTTTAAGACTTTTAAAGAGCCAGATGATGTTTTTTTTAACATACGGATACAGAAGCCTTCAAACTGAAAAGGGTGCATGTTTTTTTTTGTCAGTGACAGAAGATGAATTGTCGTGTTCAAAAGTTTTTTGCAAAACCTTGTCAAACGAATCCCCCCCTCAGACTTTTACCTGTCACGCCGAAGCTTCACGGCTTTGACCTCTGTGGAAAACTCGATTTCAATGACCGTCTTCTTCTTCAGGTCATCCCAGATCATCACTGCAGCGTCACAGCCAGAGGGGTACATGAATAAAAAAAATAAAAAAAACGACACAGGGGCCGGAAACTTCAGCTTAGGATGTTAAAGGAGACATATTCAACAAGTTAAACTAGTTCCCTGGTGTCCTAATGTAATGTCTGTGACAAGCTTTGGTCAAAATCCCATAAGGATGAAGCCCAATAGCAGTTCAGTCCCCCTGCCTAACCCTAACCCTAACCCAAAACAGCCCCGTTCAGAGCGCTCGCTTTGGAGTGCCTGTCTCTTTAAATGCAAATGAGACACAGGCAACCCACCCACTTCTTCAGGGAGGTGTGCCCACGTCGGCACGTTAACGCTACCATGCTAACGCTACCATGCTAACTCTACCATGCTAAAGCTACCATGCTAACGCTCACGCTACCATGCTAACGCTCACGCTACCACGACGTCTGCCACAGATAGGGGAGTAAGCTGAGGTGGGGGGCAACATGCAGGTGAAAGGCTGGAATATTATAATGAGCTAGAGCTAATGACGTCAGAAACTACCCACTCCTGAAACCTCCTGATTTATCTCCTGGATTCAGACTGAGGCGGCCCACAAAAACATGACTGAGTCATTTTTTTTCACACTTTGCCTGCTGATAGGCCCTCAACAGTCCCAAATGTACATAATCAAATGATTAAAAACTTGGTTTTGCATAATATGTGAAATAAATGAGGAAGCGTCTAAAATCATCTATAGTTGATCGATGCGATCCAGTGAGTTTCCCATGTAGACAACGGGAGAAGCTGACCGGTCTCTAAAGTCTGCCCCCAGCACTAACGGAACGTACCTTTATTCGTGGGATACTTGGGTTTCTTCCCTCCTCCCACCAGTGCTAGATAGTTACACCTAAACAGCATCTCCACGTGGCCGACCCCACCCTCCAGGAACTCTGAAAGTCAAACACAAGCCTAATTACATTTTCTAATCCTTAAAGTTGCTGTTCACCGTAATGGTTTGTCATCTCATGCGGCTTATTGCTCAAGAGCAGACGAGGTAAATTCCACTGGGAGGCTGCTGCTTCAGATATAATCTGATGAATGTGTCGATATATATAAGTAGGGCTGTAATTAACCAAAGAAATTCATGGTAGACTGAAACTCTGAAATTTCGACTAAACATCGGCTAATTGGATTATTAAACATGTGCAGACAAATTAAAACTGTGCATTTCCGAAAAATAAAGCCTAGGCTCACAACTATAGCCTACAAACAGTAGGCACAGACCCTTTTAGCGTAATGTAAAAAAAAAAGAAAAGAAAAAAATTGTAGATGATGTTGTAATTGAGCTATGAAATGCAAAATTCTGCAACGTTTGTCCAGCCATGGTTAGTCGAGAAAGACTCACTGTAAGTCAAATTGTAAAATAAAAATAGAAATAAATATTCAGCAAAACCTTTGGACGTTTAATAAGGTGAGCCTGCTTTAATCTACACATCTCTAGCATGTTGGGCTAATCCAAAAGAGTGAAAACAAGGGGGGTGTTCTCTAAAGACAGGCAGTTACCTGTAAAACAAGGGTGTTCTGAACTCCCCCATTAGCATTTGGTACTTTCCTCCAGCTGAATATTTACATTACACTGGATGAAATTAAAAGGCTAACTGGTCGAACCATAATGTATTGACCAGAAAGTCGACCGGTCGACTAGGACTTAAGAGCCCTAATAGAAATTATGTAGTTATTTCAAAGAAGTTAATCAAAAGTACTTAAACTAAATTGAGTTTAGAGAAGTTGGAGTCAGTCATGTTGTGAATCACGTGAAGCCCCCTTTAGGAAGAGACTTCCTCTTATACGTCTCAACATTTAAGTAACATTCCAGAAAAAATAACTTGCTTCTTAGCAATTTAACGGCTTTAACATGCAGTTAAAGACAAAACAAACACTCTCTTATTTGTGTCTTACCATAGTTTTGGATAAAACCCCAAAAGGAAAGTCCTTTCCACAATGTAAATGGTCAAAAGAAAGAATTATTCTTCCCCAGTACAACCCCACTTAAACCAGGATCATTGTCATGATTGTGTTAACACAGATTAAGTAGGAAAAAACTACTGATTGTGTTACAGCCTGGAGAGTTGATGCTCTTATTTTGATCATTCAAAGAGCTCATTATTTCTATTTTTAAAACAAAACAACTGTGACAAATCCACCTGGAAAACACATTAGGATATCTCAGAATAATCCCTATCAAACATGTATAAGTAAACATGTTTAACCATATTTAAAGACTCTCCCCAAGTCAGCAGGTTAGTGAGTTAGGGTTTTATTACCTTGCTTCTCTTTCTCTTTGAGGGGATCTGTGTTGTATACGCGGAATCCATTCTCCATTCCACAAGCAAAGCATCCTTGACAGACATAAACAGAAAGGAATCACTAATCATAATCTAATGACTAAACAGTACTTTAGCATTTACACTTGATGAGGCACACTGGTGAGCAGGAAAGTGACCAAAGATCAACCCTTAAAATGCGAAGACAGAGCTGAAAACTAATTATTAACCGGGATGGACAACGTATTGAACAAACTGAATAGTATTCACTATTAATTTCTGTGCTAAACGCCCCTCTAAACGTCACGACATGGCTTTTCAGTGTTAAAACGTTACTTTAGTGTTTGGTCTATCATACTCCGAGAGCAGTAATGACGTGACAATACGGTGAAGTTGGGTTTGGACGAAGAAATTAAAAACCGACTTAACGGCCTGTGTTTTTGACAGAAGGGAAAGAAAACAAGCGACCTAAACCGTGACACACCTTACATTTAGTAACCTATTAACTTAATAACAGGCTGCTTACCTTGCAAATACTTTAAAGTTAAGATAGCTTAGTACCTTTAGCCGTACCTTGCTAATGCTAGCTGATGGCCGCTATCCCGCTAGCTATCATTAATACCACTGTCAAAGCTAGCTTTAGCATAAATAATATGTTCATGTGTGACTAGTAATAGATATACATTTTCATAAATTATTTTCTTATCTATGTGCTTAGGTATAATTCGACTATATCTGACTTCCTGACCCGCGACAAAATCAGCTGATCTATGTTAACTGTGTCATAAACATACTAACGTTTTCGTTCAAAGTTAGCTGAGTCCTTACTGCTAGCTTAAGCTAGCATTAAGTCAATTTGATAGTTCATCTTATATTTTCAGCGTTACCTATGGACCAATATGATGGCTAAATTGTTTATAGATAACAAAAAAAAATCTAAATAAATATCTAGTAGGTAGTATTTTACTTAATTTGTGCTCTTTTGAGATATCGGCTTAGCAAAAAAGCTTAGAATAAACGACGTTGGCCAATTGCTTTAGGGTGTAAAAAAAACAATGCGCTTCTTACCATGATCCTGATTAAATCCAGCATAAAGTAGCCCATTCCCATGAGGATTGGACGGTAGTAAATTCATAGTTATTACAGAATGACAGATAATGTCAAAGAGGGACTCCGACAGCACAGATGAGCTAACCCGCTACCATTCCTGCCGAGTCTTTTGGCCAGAGCGAAGGAAAACAATCGGGGATGGCTCTAGCTAAGGGAAAGGATCACGACCCACAACCTCTGGGATTTTCAGTGGACTTCGTAAAAGCCGTTTGTCATTCAAACTATTAATACAACATGTAACTTCATTAATCGTGTTTGATAGTATGTAAAACTAAACTTGACGCGTTTTTTTACGTTGAAATAGGTTTCCCAAAGGGCAATTTTTTAAAATAAACTATTACTTTTCTGACTGTAATAATTCATTAGGACGAAATTGATCTGACCTAACGGTTAGTAGTGATATTTACAAATATCATTTGTCGGCGTCCGTGAGCTGAAATTGAAGCTCTGTTTTTCCATATTCCACAAAAATGTGAAAATATGGTTTTCTCGTGATCAGCTATAAAATTGTATGGTTGCCATACCGGTGTCAACCAGCCCCAGTGGCCTAATGGATAAGGCACTGGCCTCCTAAGCCAGGGATTGTGGGTTCGAGTCCCATCTGGGGTGAACATTCGTTTTGAGTTAGATTCACATTTTTCTCACAAATCGTAAAATAATTGGAAAGGGCGACCATTGCATTTATACCGTTATGTCACATTCTGGAAATATATACAATATGCTGATGCATCACTACTGCAAACGAACACAGTTGAAACAATACAAAATTCTGCTTTCATATTGAATGATTCTTTCTCAGGTCAAATAAGTCAAAAGGCTTCAGATGCACTTGGACCGACCTTTACATTTAAAGCATTTGGGCAAAAATACAAGAGTATTTTATTTTTACCTCATTAAATGTATGGTTTATCCTTCCACACCTCATCATTTGAGAAATAATTAATTTGCAAATGATCAATTTAAATGTGGAACTATTCTACATGGAGGGGGAAGAGAATACTTTCACACAAGTGACACTTGGAATTTTTATTCAAGAAAAAAGAAAATCAATTCCTAAAGGAATTAAATTTTAAGTAATTTACATGTACAAATCTTATGCAGAACTACAGCAAACTTGTTTGTAAAAAATACAAAGATACACTTTTATAATGCAATACAATTACATGTTTTTTTAACAATCCAAGCTAAGGGCAACCAGAGATGGGACTGAAACAATGCAAGGAAAATGTCTTTGAATTGGTTTAAGTCCCCATCCTGGTAGGTATCCACACTGTAGAGTCCTTTAACATATAGGTTCAATCTTCCTCTTCCTAAGGTTCTGATAATGTGATGCTCAACTCTTTCACAGGAGGCCTGTTTAAGTCCATTATAGAATTAGTATGATCTCTATCTTATCTAAGCATGAACCAGTCTTCTGTGTCTTTTTAGGCCATGCAAACTTGAAAAGCCTTTGCTACACACTGCGCAGACGTAAGGCCTCTCTCCAGTGTGGGTTCGCATGTGTAGGGTGAGGAAACAGGACTGGACGAAACCCTTCTCGCAGATGTTGCACTTGAAGGGCCTTTCCCCCGTGTGGTACCTCCGGTGTATCTTCAGCTCTGCGGCCGACCTGAAGGACTTGTCGCAGTCTTCGCACTTGAAGGGCCTCTCCCCCGTGTGAATCAGCGTGTGCCGCACCAAGGCGTCCTTCCCGAAGAATCCCTTGCCGCAGTGCTCGCACGGGAAGCGCAGCCCCTTGTGGTGGAAGTTGTCGTGCTTGAGGAGGCACCTCCTGGAGGTGAAGGTCTTCCCGCACTGGGCGCAGGTGAAGATGGCGGTGGGCTTCTCGCTCACCGGCTCCCCGGAGTTGTGCACGCGCTCCACGTGCCGCGTCAGCGTGACGCCGTGCCGGAACTTCTTGCCGCACTCCCAGCAGAGGAACGGGTACGCCTTGGTGTGCTTCTTGTGGTGCTCCACCAGGTCCGAGTAGGAGCGGAAGCGCTTGGCGCAGTAGGTGCACTGGAACGGCTGGTAGCCGGTGTGCTTCCACTCGTGCCTGATGAAGCGCTTCAGGCTGGCGAACGTGGTCTCGCAGTGGGTGCAGGTGAAGGGCTCGGTGGGGTTGTGGACGTCGATGTAATGCTTGTGGAGGGCCTTGAAGACGGGGAAGTTCTCCTCGCACCGGTTGCACTGGAACGGCGTGTGGGACTCTTTGTGAAGGGCCAGGGCCTCCGAGTCGCGGACCAACTTCATGCACACCTCGCAGTACAGCGGGTTGTGCGTCTGCTTGTGGGAGTCCAGGGTGGATTTGTATTTGAACGCCTTGTCGCATTCGTCGCATCTGAAGCAGTGCTTTACGTCCTCCGGCTTTTCGGGGTCTACCTGCTGCTCGTTGTAGCAAATATTTCTTAAATGGAACCTAAAGGTCTGTTTGCACTTGAACTCCACGCTGCAGTGGGGACAGTAAAACGGACCTTCCAGCACACTTTTGCTTCCTTCTGGGCTTTTCTGTCCCGATCCCTTAGAGGACCTTTCTGCGGACGGGGAGTAGTCGGGGTCCTGGGAGCTGTTGTCAAGCAGCTGCTCTTCCTGCGACACATCGCGAGGAACCCCACTGGACGACTGCTCGCCCTCCTCGTCGGCGCCGTCTTTAGTGTCCGCCTTTACTTTTGTTTGGCCCGTACACCTGTGCTGCTGCAAGTAGCGCAAACTTTTGTAAAACTTTTTGCAGGCCGGACAGGCGATGGGCAGCTCCTCGGAGTGCTGGTTCATGTGTCGCTGTAGGAACTTGGCCTGGCTGACCACTTTGCCGCACACTTTACACGTTCTGTCCTCTAGGTCGCCGCTTTTAGCGGCACCCTGCGACCTGGCAAACTTTTTAGGGCCGCTGTTGGTGGAGTTGCTGCCCGACTTCCTCCACTGCGACAGGTACCGCTTCATCTTGAGTCCTCGGTTTTTCCGCACTGGCCGCTCCAAAAAGACGTCGGCCTCCAGGTCTGCCTTTATGGCTTTCGCTCGGCTTTCCACTTCAAAGTCCGCATCTACTGGGACCTTCTTTTTCCTTCCGCGTCGGTTTGGTTTCTTATCGGTCCTATCCAGTACCGTCACCTGCCCATCCTCCCCGATGATCAGTGTCCCCGATTGTCCGTCGTGGTGCTCGTCTCCAATTTCACCCTCGCTGGCCTCTGCGCCCTCACCGTGGTCTGCGTCCACCACACCGTCCATTTCTGCTTTCACCTCACCGCCGAGGCCGAACCACTGAGTTTGTACCGACTCCTCCGCGTTGCCAGGTCCCTCCACATACACGTCTTTGTTCTCGGACTCCACCTCCATCTCTGTGCACACGGTGTACACAAGGCCACTCTCCGTATCCGTTTCCGTTTGCTCGTTGACGATCACAACTCTTTCCGCTGGAGGGAGACAGAGGGCTGACAAGATTCCACTCTCAACGACGTACGACTCTGGAAAAAAGCAACACGATCGGAGGGGGAGAAAAAATGACTACACAAATCTGATATTGTGGGTGCCAGTATGTCCAGAGTTACAGTTTAATTTGCTCACCAATGTCCTCTAACTGGATCTGATCTTTTTGACAGTCCAGCAAAACTTTGAGATCCTGAGGCTGAACGAAGGTCTCCATGCACTCGCTCAGAACAGAGGAAGTGTCACTGAGCAGTGAAGCAATCTGTAAAAGACATTATGGAATAATGATGAATAAAATGTACGAATAAATATGAGGTAAGGATGAATGAAACTGAAATGAACTGGTGTTCACACTTAGCTAATCAAAAATTAATGTTGAATATTAGCTGGGCTAACTATATCATCGTGTGCATACCTGTTGGAGAGTTTGGGTTGGAAGAAGCTTTTCGAGTCTGGACAGAAACAGCCACATCAGTGTCTGGATTGCTTTGTCATAGGTGGGCCCAAAGTCCCCTGGGAAAACATCCTGGAACACAATGAACCTCAATTATATGGGTACACCTCACAATTTGTACAGATAAATAACAGCGGATCATTCAGTATGGTCATTATTGCGGCTGTCTAAGTGAAGGGAATCCCCACAATAGAGCAGGTTGTGGCATTAATGTTCATGTCTTCCTCAGAGGAAAAAAAGAAAACCATCTATACTGGCCCAATGAAAATAAAACTCACCCCACTGTTCTTACTGCGACTAACAAGGTTGTGTGCAACCATGTTTGGTCATTAACTACGTATGCGTTAGGGAGGACAAAAACATTTTTTCAACTGACCTGGAAAAAGTTCAATCTCTGTTCGGGATCTCTCAATAGATTTCGGACAAGACCCATGAAATGCGAGTCGGATATGTCATCAGACTGTAAAAACACATAGTTAAAAATACAAGGTTTCGTCAGCAGGCATTCACCAACCCTTTGGATTCATTGATTTGTTGGAAGAAAAAAGCTAAATACAACAACAGAATTAAATTAATTGCAGTCAGATTTGAGAAACCGTAGAGTCCAGGTATGCCTACCTCAGCGTTCCACAGAGATCTGAGGCTCTGCATGCGGTCGAGGTGCGGCTGAATGATGTGGAGGTCGGCCGTCTCGTCAGAGCGACACAGCTCCAGGATCAGCTGCAAATCAAAGCGGAGCACAAATGAAGAGAAAGCAAGAAAATCAAGCATCCAACCCCTCACACACCGTTGCTCCTCAGACTGAGATGACATGACTCCCTGTTACTGAACAGACATTTGTCTGACTCCCCCTGTAGTGCTAGCAGGAAGTGTCACTAAACCCAGACTAGAATTTGCAAATTACCCATTCCACAATGGAAGGTTATTTTGCATTTCAGTCCGATGGTATGCTTGACTCCTTAAGAGGAAAAAAAGATGACTATTTAATTGGCTTAGAAATGCAATGCTAGTTAAACTACCTGGAAATCAGCATAAAATCCAGCACAAAACTTGATTTTTAAGGTGTCAGACTGCCATATTTTGCATAAGCGTAAGACTAAAACAAACCGTACCAACAATCTCTTAATTAGATACTCTATTAAAACAGTATCCATACCAAAAATCTGTGTACCTCCTACACTTGACAACAACAAACAGAACCACTACAGACAGAAATACAACTCCTCCTCTTTGTGGTAACAGGACACTGACAAGCAACAATCTTAACTGTACAACCAATTTGGATTTTTTTGTTCTGTTCAGATTACATGTAAATGAAATCTAGTGTAACTTGTAAGACTGGGGCATCATTTATGTTCCTGATTTAGGAGCACCTGGGTCAGAATTTCTGTCCCACATTTTGCCTTTACTGTTCATCACAGGGTGGAATCATTTCACCTCTGGGCACACTCCTACAAGGTGGTTTTTGTCTGTTTGTACTTTTAAATGAAGTATTCAAATATCTTATGAAGCAACAGGAAAAAGAGAGAAAACCTGTCCACGGGAGAGTTATTTCCAACTACGTTGAACAGAAAAGGAATGGGAATCATTTCAACTAGCCTCATCATTGACTCTTGTGTTAACAACTGACGGCATCTTGTTTCCTTTACGTGTTTTAATCGGAATTGTGGCAGGACAGTCCAGAATTAATGGTGACGATTCAATATAGAAAACTCAGGCAAAGACCTTCTACACTTCTGACAAACACTCCATTTCGCGTACTGCTGTCTCTTGAGGCCAACACATGAGCAGAGTTAAGTGTCTGCTTCCCATCCTACAAACCTTAAATGTGAAATCTGTTCACACATGTCAAACGGAACTGCTAGCTGATAACCTGCAGCAGGCATGTCGGCCACATCAGAAATAAAAAAATCAATAAATGAATCACCAAAAGAGGCTGAATTGAAATGGAATCTCACTTTAAGTGACTTAATGTATCAGTGTGACTAAACACAGTCATATTCATCTTACAGAAAGACCAAATTGTAACTATATAGCAATTGAAACATTTAACATCAAGGAATGCGTTTATTTGGCCTCACTGAAAAAAAGTTTACCCTAATTACTTTTTTACCCTTGTAGCACGACTTCACAGAAACAAATGTGTTGCATTAAAGGAAGTTCAAGCAGTGCAATGTGTGTTGGTGTTCATATCTGCAGTTAACACCGTCCGTCAACACATTTTATGTCGCTTATATTGTCAGGTTAGTTTCCTCTGAATCATTATCGAATCTGAAACGTTAGCACTGTTACAGCCCCACCGTGGGACTGAACTGCTTTTATGACTGCCGCCCAATAACTTGCCTCATAAAAATCATAAAGGGCTATTTATCCCAACTAACACCCTTTAGAGAAAAACCTAACTCACTCGTGCTCTGAGGCCCAAAATGAGTTCAGCCCGCTGCCTTGTGGAGAGAAGTTGAGGAACGATCTCTGTGACCATAAACACAAACTCCTCAAGTAGCCCATAGTCGGACACAATCTTCTGCTCCACAGTCTGCCAGATGGCAGCGGACACGAGCCGAATCGGAGAAACCAGGAGGCGAAGAGTGGAAATGGGGAAAGTGGGACCTGCGAGCACAAAGAAATATTCCATTAAGCCTCTAGGAAGCCTACTTCCTCTTCTATATTTGAAGCAAGTCTTGGTTAGCGATATGTTAAGCCCTAGGGCAAAATCCAATCTGATGCATTGATTTCCTGTTTCTTTTCCCATATTATCTATCGATTTGACCAGGGCAAACTTACCTTTATCGGATACTACTAGTGTTCTTAGAATCTCTACATTGAAGTAAAATGCTTTTAAATTGATTTACATCATTATGTTTCATTATTCTCAAAGTGTTTTAAGAAAACCGGGATATCCTGACACTGGTCCTATGAGGGAACACTTAAAAGCCACAGAAAGTCAAATAGCTGCGTTGGAATTTGGAAATTTATCATTTTTGAGCAACGTCTCACATATCTAGATATTACATTAGAAACTACGAAAATTGCAGCATTTGGTGAAAAAAATACAGACGGGCGTTTGGTACAAAACAACCAAGCTTTGAGAGTGAGAACTTAAACTCCTCTTAATAAATTACACGAAAATCCAAATCTCCAAGAAATGCAAATGCCCCAACTTTTATTAGAGGTGGTTTCAACTGACCTTGTTAGATAAAATTCCTACACTGCAGATGTGTTACATAGAGTGTTAGACGGTGTATGCGTACGTGTGCATATCTAATAAAATGTTTGTGTAAGGTGTTTACAGAGTACACAACACCATCAGATTCACCGGGAGCTAGCATTAGCATTAGGTAATATAGCATTCCAGGCTTCGTGCTATAAACCTGCAATGTCTTGTACGTACTGTATCTATCCCAGTAAAACGCCTCGCATTTAAAGCTCATCTGCTGGCAGCAATTAAATTTATATATGCAACATGTTAACCATTATTGAGAAAAACACTTATTTCTCGACAGGGTTGGCTATGCTATTCCCGCGCGCGGGCTGCACTGAGGCCTACCTAAACAAATCTGTCAGAAAACTCTTGCACTCACCGGGTAACTCTGAAATTGCTCCGTCCATCATAAATATTCACTGCAATTACATTACACTAATGCAGAATATAGCCAATATCTAGACCGAGGTCAAACTTTGTATTTTCTGTTGCAGTTTTCAACCCCGCTGTCTCACGGGCGATCTTTCTGCGTCAACGGCCACTTCGCGTTCCGTCTGGAACAACAATCCGACCTCAAACAAAGAGGTTTCATACGTTCCGCGCATTCTGTTTTAGGCGTCCCTCTTTGCGATTTTCACGTTTTATGTCCTAAGGTCACTGAATATAAATGAATCACGTTAAATATTTAGATTAGAAGAAAAATGTTTTGTATGTGGTTTGAGGTTAAAACCTTCCAAACCTCCCAAGTTTGTCTATATGAACCCACATACACAGGTATTATACCGTACCCCTTGATTTCTTAACTTATGTTGTGAAATGTATAAAAATGCATCTTTTAAGATGCCCCTTGATTTCTTAACAACTTATTGATTATTTAAAATGTATAAAAAAATCACCTTTTAAGATGTAAGATCAACTTAAAAGAAACCAGGGTTTACCTCAATTTCAGTTAAAATGCCTAATTTCTGAAAAATGTTCTTAATCTGGAAATAATCAACACTTCGCAACTTTATCTGGATTAAGAGTAGGCTACCATTTTTAAATCTGTTCGACAGTGTCATTAATGCGTCGATTTAATTTAAGCATAATCACAGCACTCAGACAGGTGTTTTCAGACAGGTTTTTATTTGTGGTGGCAACATCATGCGAAAAAAGCTCTGGTGAAAAAAAAACCCAACAACAAAGAAACAAAACCCTGAAAAAAAGTACAACAGGAGCAGGCCACGATATCTTGGGGATTGATTCGCTCCTATCTGAGTCGAGTCAAGAGTTTCCTCTTTATGTTTAAAAATCATGCACAACACGTACATAATTGTACAGACTCCGTTTATTGGAAATCAGCAAGAAAAAAAGAAAAAAAAAAGAATAAATACATCTGTATCTAAAAGAACTTTCTGCTGTGAAACTACATACAGCACATTACCAGTGAATTTATGCATCTTAAACATTTAAAAAGGAGCTTTCTGCAATAAAGGGGCTTGGCAATGTTGTTTAATTACAGGTGATGCGACTTAGTTTGAGATATGACTCATTTATTAAGACAAAAAGCTTATTGGCCACCTTTTTTTTTTTTTAACCTGGGCTTTCTGTGTGTATTTTCTGTAAGATGTTTTAATACCAATCATTAAAATACACAGAGGCAGCTGAGACTCAAGATATTCTGCTGGCATTTAAACATAAAATATATTTAACTTTCTGCATCTATATCAGATTTATATTCTATCAAAGGGCAAGTTGAAACTTTTTACATGGGAATGCATACTGGTTTCAAGAAAAAAAAACAAGTAAAAAAAAAGAAAAGTAAAAACAAACAATATTTTGTCCAACGTAAGGACGTGACATATTCCTCCCCAGATTGATTCATGAAAAAGAAAGCACATTTATTTTGGTTGCAAATACTATTACAAACGCTCATTTCTATCCCACCACAAGTAGTCCGTTTCATTATCGTACAAATGCCCAATCGTAGGCAATTTTACATCCTCTGCTCTTTATTCATCGTGTCGAATCTTTTTTTTTTTAATGTAGAAAACCTGTGCCGTTTTTTTTTTTCTTCCTTCCTTCAAACAGAGCAATAAAAAATAAAAAAAAGTTTTAAAAAAAAGTTAAGGCAAGATGCATCAAACAGAAACCCGAGAACCGAGGAGTGGCCCCCGCAGGGGCTCTGCTTCCACGGACTCTGGAGCAGATGGAGGTGCAGCCCCCGCTCGCTCTCTGTTTCAGGCATCTTACTGTGGTTGGAGGGGGACGAGTGGAGAGCAGCGGCGGATGGTGGGGGGGGGGGGGGGGGGTTTTTGGGGGCGTGCCCCCTGCCGTTCCTCCCCCCGTCGGAGGCCCCTGCTTTGAGTCTGCCCAAACGCTCCTCTTTGGCACTTAAGCTGGCAGACTCAGCTTTTTTCCTTTGAGCACTGAAACCAGACAAAATTTTTAATCAGAAGATGTGGAAGTTGTTTTAATGTCAAAAGAGACCAAAAGAGGGTGGGGGGAAGCAAACAGACTCAAGATAAAAATGGACAGGAGTACATTAATGGTATAAATACATAGATCTCAATCGGATCTCCTCTAATTAAACTAAATAAAAACGGCCACAAACATCGCACAACGGCGACGTGCATAATAACCCATACAAACACGTCTCACATCGCTCAATCCTTGAAAGTTTTAAGATGATGTGTATGATGGTGTTTTTCTGCTGGATAATCTGAACTGAGATTCCATATGAGCCTCAAGTAACATGTACTAATCTGCTTAACTTTCAACCAAACTAGCAGTAAATGTCTCTCACCACTTGAACTCTTTCAACTTATTTTATCCTCTGAGGGTCTCATATGGAATCTGGTACAAATGTTTAAGTAACAATGAAAGGGCTCCTCCATGGGAAGGATTTATAGTCTCTACTGCTACTGAACAGATCATTCATTTGAGAATTTGGAAGTCAAGTTAATAGTTGGCATGCTCTTCAAATTATTCCTAACAATGCTTGCAGAGTGTTCTGAGCCAGAGCGAGCTGAACTGAACTCACCTTTTGTTACATATAAGTAGAAAAAGTCGCAGTAGAGGATGGTCTGCACCACTCCAGCCACAATGGCGATCATGTCAAAGAATCCCTCAAAGTAGAACCTCCATATCCAGTTGAAGAGGTAGAGGGCTCTGTAGAGTCCCAGGAAGAACAGATAGTGGGTGGTGATGGTCTCCGCTTCACCCGTTTTGCTGATCATGAAGAGCTGGGGCAGGATAGCCACCGACTCCAGGTAGATGGAAAAGGTCCACAGGATCTTAGGCACAGAGGGATGAGGCGTATGTCAGAAACCGACACGACTTAAAGTGTGACAAAAAGCAGTGGTGCAACTGAATTGGCATGAAAACAGAGTGAAGGTTTTTTAATGCTTGTTAAAATCTGCTCATGCGACTGGCGTGTTTGAATTCCTGACCTCCAGGGGAGAGAAGTCATGGTTGACGAGGAACGCCAGTCCGCCAACTGGCACCACCAGGAACTCCACTCTGAATGTGTCGTGGTTCCCGTCGTAGGTGGCCTTGAACTTCATATAAATCAGGTACACGGTGGCGTATGCACATCCAATGTAAATGACCTGGAGGGAAAACGGAAACCAAAAGAGTCAGTCGGCAGAGACTGGATCGGAGTCGAGTTGTGCAGAAGTGAGCGGCCTTTTGCCCTTCGGCAAACACGGGCGTGTCAGATTGGTGTGACAGTTACACCTCAGCACTATGTGCTCAGTCCTTGACATGCTCAAGGAAGAGTGTGCGTGTAGCGAGAGGGATTCACCTTCATGGTGGTGTTGTAGAGGGAAATGAAGGATGTGAGGAGGTCCAGGTACCGAGTGGTGAACACCAAGGCAAAGAGAACCTGACTCTTTCCGGAAATACCTGTTAGGAAACAGCAGAAGGTGTAAATGGACAGAACCTCATCTTATAAATGGTGGCATTTACAGCAACCCTTTTGGTCATTCCTAATATAAATGGCAACAAATAATAAGAATGTGTCACGAGTGAGTTCCACATAACTATTTTGAATAGTAAATATTCACAGTACATCACAGATCAAAGCTTTACTGTCAGTTTGAATAGAATTTAGATATTTTCTGAGCTGTGTTGGCATATAAACAAGTAGTTACAATGTATCTTTCCATTCTGCTGGGAGCAGCTCAGGAACTTGTTTTGTCTCGCATCTCTATTAAGACAATTATCTGACATTCCAGTAGGCGACAACATCTATCACCGGGTCACGACAATCCTCTGAGCAGGACGGGATGATAACCAGCCGCGGCCACCATATTATTAGCAAACCAAAGTCTAATTAGATCTTCTGTATCGCATCTGTTTTGGGGCCTTATTATGAAATGTCTCATGTTATCTATTAAGATCACTAAAGCCTCGACATGATTTGACCAACATGTTCTAGCTATCTGTGTGGCTTAATCTCCAGCAAACAGCAGTGGTAGATAACTCAGGTGACCGGTTTGCCTTTCAGTGGGACAGCATTGACCTTTGATCTTTCAAGAAACACGAAAACACAGCAAACTTTTTATCATGGCTACAGTCCATGGAGAGGGCACTCCCCCCCCCACCCATCCTGGATCGGTGCTCTCTGATCCAGTCTGCATCTGCTAACACTGCTGCCACGTCAGAAAGCTCATTCCAGGCTGATGTACAACGTGGAGGTAGCTTCGTGTCACCAAACAACTCAAATTAGCAGGGCCTACATGTCAAACTAACAAATACTTTGGCCCTCTAGTCTCCTTAATAATGTTGCTATGGGGCCCGGTCCATTGGAAATGCTAGCTAACAAGAGAGCTGTGTGTTTAGGTACTTTTTAAAATCAATACTAGTTATTTACAGAGTTTCACTCTTCACAATTACAACGTGACAAAGGTATCAGTGACTGTCTCTGGAATGACAGTTAATATTAGATGACACTGCATGCCGGTGCTGTAGACACTCGTGCTAGCTAGTTACAGCTAACATTAGCCGTCAACTGGTTAATGTGTTCAAACTACTGGAGTTAGACATTTCTGCTGTACCCATTTGCACAGGATGATGCATTTCCTGTAACACAAACGCTGGTACAAACCATGAATTAAGGAATAAAAAGCACTTACCGGCACAGGACCTGGTTTTCCATATTTTTAGCAGCAGAATAATGATAGCTGCTAGGTGGGACAGATCGCCGGTTAGCCTGAAAATGTTCATGTTTAAGCTAGCGCCTTTACTCGCAGACCAATCTTACGCCCATAAGCGTGTTCCGGTTGTCTCCAATAACACTTAGTTTTTCCTTTATCCTGGTAGTGGTGAATATCAGCGAGAAGCTACAATAGTGTGATTCTAGCCTTACAAATCGGGAAAATGGCGAATAAAGAGCGACGTGGCTTGGGGACGTGGCTAAGACGCCAGTATCCAATGGAAAACGGGGAACGCGCGAGGCTTAGCCAATCACAATGAAGGAATCCCTTATTTGCATACGCTAGTCGAAAAGAACGTTGCCCTGGCGTTATAAAGAAAAGGTTGTAAAAACGAGTTTCCGATTTTAGCTTCTTGTCTTTAAGGAACAAGGAAATATCTCAGCCGACTGAATTTATTACGTAGAAAGAAGACCTGTCTGGCTGCAACTAGTCAACAAACAACCGTAAAAGTCTTGTTGAAACTTCTGGGGCCAAAATAAAATCAAACAAACACAGTAGCACATCTTTTAACACATCACACTCTTAAAAATAACATGAAAAAAGTTGAGAAAAGACAAAAAAATTATTTAATATTTTTTATTGAGGAACTTATGGATTTGTTTTCATTATGGCACATTGTTCAATTGTTGTGCAGCATTTAAATTTTTAAAGACCCCATAATCAGATAATCTACCCACCCCCCAATAATTGATTAACTATTTGGTTTCATTAACACTTCTGTGGTTATTCTTATGCTTATACTTACTTATGCTTATACTTACATTATAGCTGCACTTATTTCTATTGTCTTTAATTCTAACAAAGGTTCACATGAGGTACCTGGTGTGTCTTTGTGCTGTTTCAGGTTTAGAGGTTTGTCTCTACGGCTGAAAATTGGGGTTTTGGCATTGAATTAGCAAAACTGGTTGAAAATATATCAAACAATCACAAGAACTACAGATCAAACGCTTGGCTTGGACCAAATGACAAGAGGCCAAAATCAAAGTGAATGCTTTTGTTTCAATTCTATCTTAAATATGCAAGTGTTGGCCAACACAAATCAGTTTTAGAGCACAACACTATACTTTGTCCGTCATATGTTCAATATTTTTTGCACTTAACAGTGCCTAATGTTTGTTAAAATACAGCATAATAGTAAAAATCTACCACTTAGGGTCACAGTAGTTACTGTTAACTTCAGATTTCTAAATATCTCTCCAATCAGCCGGACCTTCTGCAGGATATTAAATTACTTGTGAACAATCATCCTCCAGGCTTCTGAAGGCATTTCAAAGTTTTTCTCTGGACCTTTTCGGGATAATGATTCAAGCATTAAAAACACTAACTTCACAGGTAACCCACAGAAGAATTTAATGTTTCCATTTTATCTATGGAAATAAATAAACCAGACCATTAATGAACCAACAAGCAGCAGACTTAAAAGAAATAAAATACCTCCAGCAGATGAACAATCTATGAAAATCATGCTCAAATAAACAGAGAGAGATTAATCCTCCAAAGTACCCAGACCTCAACATATAAAGCAGAGTGAGGTCATCTAGAGAGATAACCGTACAAAAGGCAGCAAACATCCAAAGGAAGAGCTTTGGAATGTTCTAAGAAGCCTGGAGAATAATCCCTGAATGCCACTGAAAGAAGTTATTCATACCAAACACTGACTTTTAAGAACACTGGGTTTGTAAAAGGTAATAAAAGGCATTGCCTTGCCGACTGGATTTGCATTGATGTTTGCTTTCACGTTTTTCACCGCAGATATGCTGCCGATGTTTAGAAAAGAGTGGCGACTCAAGATGTTTGCAAAAGACCCTTTGCGATAAAGAATACTTTCAGAAGAGTTTGAGTTAGCGTCATCATCAGTATGGCAAAAAATCGTAGTAAATACGAGTTGTAAACACAAGTATTACAGGATGTACACTTACAATGTGATGATATGTTTTGGAAGAGCAGACCTTCCATGGCATTTCCACACAGGCTAACAGGCATTCAAGTTTGAGAGTGTATACATACACACACATATATATATACACATATACATACATGCATATATATATATATATGCATGTATACACACACTCACTTTTTTTTGTGCTAAAAGTCAAGGTATCACAGGATCGCTGGTAACAGTTGGAACTATAGAACCTGAGCTTCACACCTGACTCCACATCACTACACACTGACGGTACGAATGAGGCTCATGAAAAATTGCAGTAAAATCCATCCCATCGACGTGAAGTTCCCATAACATTAGAAGAGCGGTCCGAATTCCCACGGGAATTCACCGAGCATTCACGGAGAGTTTTCCGTGTCGTCTGAGGCCTTAAGTACGAAAACCGCATCGTCGAGTACGTAGTACTCGTTGTACATGTCCCCTTCGCAGAGGTATGGCAGTCGGGTCACGGCCTCCACCTCCAGCCCCGCTTGTCCGAAAACCTCTTTGGACAGGTTCGTCACCTGCTCCTCCCACGTCTTTCCAGCTATTTTTAGGTGTTCCTTTGGACGCTCCCACTTCCCTCCTGAGAGGAAAGGAAAAACACTTTGACTCAAATCGCCGAAGTGAGCTGTGATATGACAACAATGATTCCCCCACTCACCGACTTCCACGTATGGCTGAAATGGAAGCACAGCAGCGAGGACGACTCTTCCCGTCTTTGGTACTAAGGACTTCCTGATGTCCCGCAGCAGGTGCAGAGGGTCATCGCAGCGGTCCAGAAGGTTCAAACAGCCGATGACGTCATACTGGAGACCAGTATGCTGCCACTCATCTATACCTAGCAGTCTGTGGACAATAGTAGGGGCACAGTGGGGAAAAAAAGAGAAGATTAACTGTGTGATATCAGCAGACGAGGAATGAGATTCATTTTTGACTCCTGAAAACCAAAACATCGTAAGTTCATAAAAAAGGGAAGCTACAAACCGAAGTTGGACAACAGAGCACAGTCATCTCCAGAGCATGTCAAGCTCACAGTTGGCAATTTGATCCAGTGGTCTTGAAGACAGCAATTCTTAAGACTATGTGCGAGTAGCCTTGTTGTACTAATAATGTCCTTACAGTTGTTTTTTATATATATATATGTTTTTCGGTGTCAAAAGAGGCCATGCTTTATCGGTGGAGCTCTAGAAGGCTCAAGGTTTTGCCTAATTTTACTCCATTTATTTAATCAAATTCTATCAATTTCTATTTGGTTGAATTTTATCTGTGTCCAAAGAGGTCATGCTTTATCAGTGGAGCTCCATCAGGCTCAAGGTTTTGCCTCATTTGATCCATTTATTGAATCAAATTCTATCAATTTCTATTTGATAGAATTTTATCTGTGTCCAAAGAGGCCACGCTTTATCAGTGGAGCTCCACCATGCTCAATATTTTGCCTCATTTCACTCCATTTATTAATTAAATTTTATCCATTTCTGCTTTTGAAGGCAGGGAGAGAAAAGACTGAATTATATCATGTATTTAGGATGACCCTCAGCTTTTATGAGAAGGAACAGTGGAATCAGCAGAATACAAAACACTACAAAGTAAAAGCTGAAGATACCGTTTTCAATTGACACTGAAACACTGTTTTTTAAAACTCTTAAAAACAGACAAATACCATCATGCTCATCCAACAATGAGTGAGATGGACCAACAAGGGATTGGTGCTTCCTACACGGCCACTTACTTGTAATTCTTCCTTTGGAGGTGCCATTGCATGGGGAGCGAGACTTCGGTGGCATACACCTCTCTGAAATGGGCCCCCATCACCTCTGTGACGCCTCCATCCCCCGCTCCGAGGTCCAGGAGTCTGTCGGCCCTCCATTCGGGGCCGATTCGGAGCAGCGCCTGGAACTGGTCTGCGGAAAACACGAACATGGATCCCCGGCCCAGAAACCTAAGACGGAGAGCAGAGTGAGCAGGCGGAACCCTTCTGGGGGGGGGAGACGGGGAGGGAGAGGGTGTGTAACACTCGCCCATTGATGGAGGTGCGCGACACCACGGGGCTGAGCATGGTGGACACGAGAGAGTGATAAAGCTGGGTGAACACCCAGCCCGACTTCTCTGCGCTGCGCCTGAGGAAATCCTCTGTGTCCCGGTCAAGATGGCTGCCGATGAACAGCGGTCGAACCGATTCTCCCAGCAGGTCAGGGCAGATCCGGTACCACTGAACAAAGAAAAGGAAGATAAAAATGACTGATTAGATTTAGGAAGAAAGAATCTGCAGAGCAAGACTGGCCACTCCTGGGTCATGCACCCATTCTGTGTTGAACTGTTAAAGACTTGAACATTTGCATGGGCACTGAAAATCAAATTAGCACTCTTTATTTTGGGTCTGCAGTTGGAAAAATGTTTTTTATTTTTAACAGGAGGGGCTTTGGACCTGCCATCTCATAGTTAATGTTATATCTATCCAATTTAATTTTATTTTCTACCATTTTGTTTGCATCTTACAACATATAAATAAAGTGTAGTGCCACGAGCGCTAACCGCTAGCAGCTAAACACTGAGAGCTGATACCACCCATCCATTTTTTAATACTTTGTTTCTCCATTTCAGGGGGTGAGAGGTTTTGCAGGCCCGACACAAACTAACTTCTATCCATGTTTAAGCAGTCTCTTAAGACCAACATGAATCATCAGTTAACCTATACACAACATGGCATACAAGATATCGGACACTCAATCTTATAGATGGGAAAAAAGCTGGTTCCAATAGGTTTTTGGCGTTGTAAATATGCTTTATATTCCAATATGCTGTATTCCAGAGATGCAGGTCACCCTAAGCAGCCAGGAGAACTGCAGTTTGTGGGACGTATATATGTATGTATACTTATATTTCACTCTTTTTCAGACTGAGTAAAGATTAGGGTAGTGTCTAGAATCCAAAAGCAGGAGGTTCAGCCAGTTTTGGTGCATAAAGTTGGTAGCATTCCTTTGTTTTTTTTTCAATTCAGGACTTTTAGTCGGAATTATCATTAATCCAACACAACACCAGATTTATTTGTTTTTTTTTTGCTTGAATAAGCTATTTGTCCAACACCTTAGCTCCAAGTAAATACAGGGTTCCACCCATAAAATAGGTTAAGGTTTCCAGAGCATTCGACTGGTAAATCTTTGGTTTTAAGATAAAAAACAACAACTTTATATTTATTTATTTATTTAATCAGGACAGTGCTCATTATTGAACAATCTTACACTTCAGTAGAGATTGTAAACGAGCCAGATTATAGCATATTTGCTAATTTACATTTGTCGTCCTGAGGCAGGAAGACAAAACAACACAAAATCACATAATACATTTACTGACTATTGAAAGATCCAAATATAAATAAACTGTATGCAGTTAGATTATATATTGTGTGACAGATGTAGAACCTCTTCAAGTAAAATTTAAAGAAAGTCAAAACATAATAATAAACCCAAATCCTCTATGAATCTCATTAACAATTCTATGCAAGTGGATAGCTGTAATAAATATTGTCTATGAATTGATTGATCCAAAAATCTCTCTATTTCAATGTGGTTCCAAGCCAACCCTTGTCTCGGTTTAGTTTTCCCATATCAAGATACTGTCTGTGCTTTTGTTCCTCGGAGGTCATTCGTTTTCCTACCTCCTGCGTCTGTGCCGCGACCGCCTGGCTCTCGTGCACGTTCGCAAACAGCGAGCGCACGAGCGGACTGCGCGCGTACTTGGCCGTCCACATCTTCCTGACGGACACCAAAAAGGCGACGTACCCCAGCACCCACGCAACAAAAATCAACGTCCTCAGCTGTAGGTGAAACATAACGGACAAGAGAGTCTGAGCAAGGAAGCCTAAGGACGGGAGCCCCCTCCACGGAGAAGGAAGCCCGACGAAAAACAAAAAAAACTGTCCACTGAGATGTGGTGAATGGTGAGAGAAGAGTGAATGCTGGTGAGGAAGGTAAATGGTAGACAGTTGTAAAAGAATACGTCTGAGAATGTGTCCGGTTTCACATCAATAAACAAACCAACCTGAGGAGGGTGTGGCGGCGTAATGACACCCAACAGCTATTTGCACACCATTTTAGTGCCGAGAAACCATTGTCAGCTTATGTGTTACACATAAAACCCAGATAATCTTCTGCCGTGTGGTTCTTTGCTCACTGTAACAACAGAAAAGTGGCTTCCGTGTTTCTAGCTGGTCAGACTTCTTCTTCTTGTTGTTGTTGATTTGATTGGTGGTTGGGAAATCCCGTTTGGTTCGCATTACCGCCACCTACTGGTGTGGAGTGTAGCTTAAAATGTCGATTTTATTCGATAAATCTATTACCAACGATTAATAAATATATTACCATTCTGTTACTCAACTTTGTTTTCCTATAAAAAAAAAAAAATCGAACCAAAATGCTTTAGTTTTCTGAATCTCCGTGTGGTATATTTATTAAATTAAATCTTTATTTTTTCCCCTAAATTCCTCCAACATTAATCATTCGTTTTCATCATCAGACATACTAAAACACGTCCTATTGTTTCAAATTCTCCACAATATTGACATTCTCCCATATCATGTTACTTATTATAAATAATCTATAATTGAGACCAGTGCGACAAAAACTCAATCGTGTTATTCATTGATTGTCTCTTCTGTTCCTGTTCTCATCTCTACTCTCTTTTGAATCTTATAATACTTCTTCCTTTCTTATCTTCATTTAATTTGTTCTGCCACTTTAATTTCTGTTGTTTTTTAATCATGCTTTCTGCCTCTGATTTACTTGTGGTTACACTAACATTGATTCCTCCTGTCGTTGCCTTTTTTGCCACTCTATGTACTCTATCATTTCCCTCCACTCCAATATCTGCAAGTAATCATAAAAAACAAACTTCTAATTCCATCATTTGAATACTCATCTATGCTTGCTGTATACACAATAAAATATCTGGGTGGCTATCTGAATGACTGTGGTGTAAACAGATAAGTGCTGAAATAGAGTCTGAACATAATATTGTTCTTAATGGGTTTATTTCCTCTATCCATTAAGTTGCTGATAATATTGGAAACATTTCCCTGGTATATACTGACAATCTGTTAGCGATTTGTTTTGTCCCTAGAAAAACCCCTCTGCCTCAACCTCTATGGTTTAGTCCTCCCATAACCTCTTCAACCTTTCACCCACCCACGTCTCCTATAAGCTATAAGCAAACAGTTTAGTGAACTGCCCATACCTGAAGAACCTTCTCAAAGCATGTATGGACACAGAAGTCCTCCTGCTTCATTTTCTTTATTCACCCTTCTCACACTGAGAGTGTGTGTCTAAACTTCTTGCATGTCTCTCCTCCCATTTCTGTCTACGACCACAGTCTTTGGGCCAGTCTTTAACCCTATAATGCCGTATGTATCATATTTGACACGTTTGGATCCTGAAATGCTTTGCATCTGAGACTTTTGCATGATTTAATGGTAAAAACCTAGCTTAAAACCCTGTTTTACACCATTACATACACCTGATAACACCAGGCAGAAGACAGTAACTTTGACTTACGGTTATACATTTTGAATATTAAAAAAATAGGGCCAAATAAAAACTATATTTTTCATTCATCAGGCTTTAGAGGATTAAGCAGGTCACAGAATTATTTTTTTGCAAATCAATCTCCATGAGAGGTCACCTCCTTAACCTGAGCAGTTTTCACCTTGTAAGAATGACCACAATCATCACAATCGTCTGGATGCACTCTTTAAATTTGAACAGTACTTGGTCCTTACATGACGAGGTTTCAGAAGTACACAAGAACACAAGTACAGACAAGGATGCATATTGCTTTACCACAAAAAATACAGTGGTCTGCAAAGGTTTGGGCAACCTTGTTAATTTCAATGATTTTCCTTCATAAATCATTGGTTCTTAGGATAAAAAAAATCAGTTAAATATAAAATATAGGAGACAAACACAGTGATATTTGACAAGTGAAACAAAGTTTATACCATTTACAGGAAGTGTGCAATAATTGTTTAAACAAAATTAGGCATGTGCATAAATTTGGGCACCACAATAAAAAAAATAACTCAATATTTAGTAGATCCCCCTTTTGCAGAAATAACAGCTTCTAAACGCTTCCTATAGCTTCCTATGAGAGTCTGGATTCTGGTTGGAAGTATTTTGGACCATTACTCTTTACAAAACACCTCTAATTCATTCAGGTTTGATGGTTTCCGAGCATGGACAGCTCTCTTTAAGTCACACCACAGATTTTCAATAATATTCAGGTCTAGGGACTGAGATGGCCATTCTAGAACGTTGTACCCGTTCCTCTGCATGAATGCCTTAGTAGATTTTGAGCAGTGTTTAGGGTCATTGTCCTGTTGAAAGATCCAGCCCCGGCGCAGCTTCAGTCATGTCACTGATTCCTGGACATTGGTCTCCAGAATCTGCTGATATTTGGTGGAATCCATGCGTCCCTCAACTCTAACAAGATTCCCAGTCCCTGCACTGGCCACACAGGCCCACAGCAGGATAGAACCACCACCAGATTTTTCTGTAGGCAGCAGGTGTTTTTCTAGGAATGCTGTGTTGTTTTTCCTCCATGCATGACGCCCCTTGTTATGTCCAAATAACTCAATTTTAGTTTAATCAGTCCACAGCACCTTATTCCAACTTGTCAAAATGTGCTTAAGCATACCTCAGGCGGCTTTGTTTGTGATGTGGGCGGAGAAAAGGCTTCTCCAGCATCAGCATCTCCTTGTGTAAAGTGCGCGCAATAGTTGTACGATGCACAATTACTCCATCTGCAGCAAGATCATGTTGTATGTCTTTGGTGCTGGCCTGTGGGTGACTTTGACTGTTCTAACCATTCTTCGCTTCTGTTTATCCGTGATTTTCCTTGGTCTGCCACTTTGAGCCTTAACTTGAACTGTACCTGTGGTCTTCCATTTCCTGACTATGTTCCTAACTGTCGAAACAGACAACTGGTATCTCTTAGACAGCTTTCGGTATCCTTCCCCTAATTCATGATGGTGAACAATCGTTGTTTTCAGGTCATGTGACAGTTCTTTTGAGACTCCCATGTTGCTACTCTTCAGAGAAGATTCACAGAGAAGGGAAACTTACAATTGCCCCCCCTTAAATACTCTCTCATAATTAGGTTCGCCTTGTGTATGTAGGTGAAGGGTCACTGAGCTTCCCAAACCAATTT